GATGCCATGGCACTCTACCGAGGGCAATAAAGTAAATCTCTATCTCTACAAAAAAAAAAGCCCATTCCTTTCTCTCTTTTTTGGAGACAGAGCCTCAATCTGTTGCCAAGGCTGGAGTGCCATGGTATCAGCCCCGCTCACAGAAACCTCACACCCTTGGGTTCAAGTGATCCTCCTGCCTCAGCTTCCTGAATAGCTGAGACTACAGGTATTACCACCACATGTGGCTACTTTTTCTATTTTTAGCAGATATGGATGGGGTCTTGCTCTTGCTCTGGCTGGTCTTAAACTCCTGAGCTCAAGCAATCCACCTGCCTTGGCCTTCCAGAGCACTAGAATAACAGGCATCCAACTTAAAGCTCATTCCTTTCTGGAAATACTATAGCACTACTCTCATAACTTAATTATTTAAAATTTTTTTCTTGAGCAGTGCCAGTGGCTCAGTGGGTGGGGTGCCAGTTCAAACCCAGCCCGGGCCAAACTGCAACAAAAAAATAGCCAGGAGTTATGGTAGGCGCCTATAGTCCCAGCTACTTGGGAGGCTGAGACAAGAGAATAACCTGAGCCCAGGAGCTGGAGGTTGCTGTGAGCTGTGATACTACAGCACTCTACCGAGGGCAATAAAGTGACACTGTCTCTACAAAAAAAAAAAATAATAATAATAATGTTTTTTCTTATAAAAACAATACATGCTTGGCTCAGCACTCGTAGCACAGTGGTTGTGGTGCTGGCCACATGCACTGAGGTTAGTGAGTTTGAACCCGGCCCAGGTCAGTTAAATAACAATGACGTCTGCAACAAATAAACAGCTGGGCGTTGTGGCAGATGCCTGTAGTCCCAGCTACTTCGGAGGCTGAGCAAGAGAATCACTTAAGCCCAAGAGTTTGAGGTTGCTGTGAGCTGTGACGCCACAGCACTCTACCCAGGGTGACAAAGTGAGACTCTGTCTTAAAAAAAAAAAAAAAAAGATTTAAGTGGATAGTCTAAAAAGTAACTCCCTTTCCCCACTTCTAACCTTGCTTACCAGAGGCAATCTCTTCTAATTCTTCCAGAAATGTTAGGCTGGATGCAGTGGCTCAGGCCTATAATCCTAGCAGTCTGGGAGGGCAAGGTGCATAAATTGCCTGGCTCTGGCTCAGGAGTTTTGAGACCAGCCTGAACAAGAACAATACCCTGTCTCTACTTAAAACAGAAAAACAAGCTGAGCATTGTGGTGGGTGCCTGTAGTCCAGTTACTTAGGATGTTGAGACAGGAGGATTGCCTAACTCCAGGAGTTTGAAGTTGCTGTGAGCTAAGATGCCATGGCATTTTACCCAGGGAGACTGAGTGAGACTCTGTCTCAAAAAAAAAAAAAGTATGCAAAAAAAAAAAAAATCCCAACTTACTCAAAGGAATCATTTGCTATATCACGTATACCTTGGTTTTCTTACTTTCTGCAACAGTACACAGAGCTACTGCATTCAGTTCTACAGCTGCACAGCATTAATGTACCCTTGGTAAGGCATTTTTAACTTTGTAAAGCCTTAAATGTCAAACACCCCAATCTAGTTTTAAAACACATGTGGCAAGGAGCTAACTGGTTATTTCCATGTAGATAGATTGTGATATGGTTCAAGGGCCATCATTCTCAACCCTACCACATATTAAAATTAGCTGAAGAACTTGTAAAAACGT